CAGAGAAGGCACTGTTGAAAAATATATTGTTTTGCATTTATGCTATAAATTTCAAATAGTGAGTTTCACATGGTTAGTAAGTGAATTAAAGGTTCATGTTTTCCTGCCCACTCTGGGCAGGACTCGTATTTGTCATCATCATCAATGAAGCACAGTAATACTCTTTGACGGAGTCATGGGGAGCTTCCGGAGGATGCACTCTCAGGAGTCATAATGTAACCAGCATTAAATAAACCGTACTAGGGGACTGCATAGGCAAGATAACCTACATTGTTGCAGTACAAACCAATTCCCAAGAACTATGATATCTGAGGTAGACAGCAGTTGCTCTCTCCTCCAGGTGGGACATGACGTTAGGAAGGGTGCGTTTGACAGTGACAAAGAGATGGCTCCTTGAGCTGGACAGGAAAGCATGGTGCACATGCAACAGCAAACTATTTAAGTACTTCTTCCAACTCATTCCAAATCTTCATTAATAAATTACCTGACATGGGCCAATGTACTTTGTAATACATTTTAAAATTAAATTGTTGATTTTGGAATAAGAAGGAAGATGAAAAAACACTAGAAAGAATTACACCCAAGTTTTATGGTGATTGTGTCTGAGTGTTAGCTTCCTGACGTACTTTTCTTTTGTTCATATGTTCCATAACGTGGTGATGTTAAATCAGAAAGCAGGACTTGGCCGGGGCACACAGCTAGCTCGTCATAGGACAAATTCTCTTTGAATCTAACCCCTATACCCTTTCCTCTTAAAAATAAAAAAAAACCTATTAATAAAAGGTATGTAATTAAAAAAATACAAAAAGGCATATGGTGAAACATAAAATTTCCTCCCACTCTTTTCTTCAACGATCTAGTTCCTTTCCAGAGGCAACTATGGCTAGTTTCTCTGTATCCTTTAAGAGACAGAAAATGTACCTATGTTTGTGTTTTTAGAAGTTAATTGGGGTAATACTGGTTAATACCATTTTGTGAATTTCAGGCGTACAGTGTGACATCTGTACACTTGTGTGCTCGCCGCCCATCTAGTTTCCTTCCGTCACCATGTATCTGACCCCCTTCTCTGTCTGTCTTCCCCCCGCCCAAATATTTTTGGGTGTGCTGAAACCTGGGATATTTTAAATTTTTACCACAAATGGTGAACATACACACACACTCTTCAGTACTTTGCTGTTTCATTTCAGACAGACTGGAGATCTAGTATCAGTACCCGAAAAAACCTTTTTTAAAACAACCGTATGATATTCTGGTAAATGGATGTTTGCAACATAGTTCATTAACCAGTTCTTAATCTATTGCTATTTCAAACACTACTATTTTCACACATAGGCTTAGAAATACATGTGAAAAAATATGGTAGGATAATTTCCTGTAAGTGAGTTTGTAAGTCCCAGGGGTATTTAACTTAAAATGCAGAGGCGGCCCCAACTTTAGTCACCACCACCATGCATGTGTATCTCTCACCTGGAGCTTGCTGGCTTCTTCAGTTCTACCCTTCTCTCTGCTCTGCTCAGTGCAGAGTCCCAATCCTAGCATTTACTTGGTTTGCAACTGGTCACGTCCATTTACTCTCTCTGAACCTTCTTCCTCAATGGAGAGAATATTCATTTTCCATAGTTTTCATCAAAATTAAAGACGTGGGGAAGACCAAACATTACACAAATGGTAGCAGATCAGTAGTTTCACATATTCTACATATAAATAGCTCTCATACCTTCCCCCTATTTCTCTACTTCTATTCTTTGCACAGAAACTCTTCTGGCTTTGACACATCTTGCTTTCCCTTTTTCACACGCTCTTCCTCACCCCAAATCTGATGGTCAAATGAATCTTCCTGAATTCAAGTTCTATTTGTTACTCTCCTTTGAAAAAACAATTCAAAAGAATTCTCACCCGGGGCTAAGTTTATTGAATTTAGAGAGGAAGAAAGAGAAACATTGAATCGGTTGCCTCCTGTACACGCCCTGACCAGGGGTCAAACCTGCAGCCGTCTGGTGTGCAGAACGACACTCCTAAACTGAGCCACCCAGGCGGGGCTCTCCTGCTTTCAACAAACAGAACCGCTCTGTAACTAAGGGAATTCTGTACCTTGCTTTCCATGACCTAGCCCCACCCTGCCTTCCTAACTGATTTCTCACTAGTGCTTTCGGCCATTGTTACAATTCCCTTTAAATATTCTTGCACAGCCCTGACCAGTGTGGCTCAGTTGGACAGGGGTTGTCCCACCAAGTGCAAGGTTGCCAGTTTGATTCCTGGTTAGGGCACACGTCTGGTTTGTGGGTTTGGTCCCTAGTTGGGGTGCAACCAACCGATCAATGTTTCGCTCTCATGTTGATGTAGTTGGGTTTTTCCTCACAGTGCATGTAACTTAGAATTGAACAGGTGAATAACAGAATAAATATGCCCCAATCACTCGGTGCTGGGAGAAAGGGCCCATCGTTAATGCTACAACTGCGAGTGCTTGCTTACTGCATACAGCGCATTTCTCTGGGTGTTGTGGAGGCAGCCATCAACATGACAAAGTCTCTGCCTTCTGAGAACTCATGTCCTGGTGGAAAGGACAACACACTAAATATAAAAATTAATGGTAAATGCTATGAAGAAGTAAGTCACAGGGTTAAGAGAAGAGCAGTGGCTCGAGGTTGCTGTTTTAGAAAAGGGTAGAGTGGGGAGGTATGTAGGAATCTTGGAGGCTGTGGTAACTGGATTCATGATGGGAAATCTATGCAGTCTTTTTTTGAAAAGCATTGCCAATAGGCCATAGGGTCATCAGTTGTCTTTCTGGGTCTATGGCAGACTTCCACTTACCTCTAAATAGTCACCCTCCCCTTCCTGAGTAACAGCCACTGAAGTCTAACTGGGTACAGGGACACACAGCTGAAGATGACATATTTGAGCCTCTCTTGCAGGCCATGGGAGTGAGTTCAGGACAAGAGCAAAAGTAACCTGTACCTCTGGAAGATCATGCTCTTAGAAAAAGTAGTCAAGTTTTTTTCCCCTTGCGCCTTTCTCCCTTCCTGTTTGGATACAGATGTGTTGGCAAGAGCTGAGGGAGCCATTCTGTACATAAGGAACCCATTGGCTGAGGATAGCAGAGCAACAAAATAGGAGTTGGTGTATCAGCCCCAGGTTGCTTATGCTGTTAGGAGAATAAACTTCTACCTTGCATGAGTTATACTTGGGTTTTTGTTAATGGCAGAAAGAGTCTGCACCCTAATTAAGAGGCATATCAGAGAAGCAATATTAACCCCCAAGGAAGGCAACTACATCACCGGGAACTGTTTACGGTGCAGCTTCAACGATTCAAAAGGCAAGGGTAGTAAAAGCTTGAAAAAGTCCTAACATTGCTAAGTTCCTGTTTTTCCACCTACAGACAGGGATGTTGTATATAATTATGTGTAAATACTCAAAGTATAACATATAAACAAATTACTATAGCATTTAGTTTATCATGAACTTATTTAGGCTTATCAGTGCTAGCCTTAATCATTCAAATCATTCCTTTTTATGACTTATGTCTGTTAAAAGGAGGGTCCAAGCCACTTGGAAGATCCTTCCCAAGAGTAGAATCTAATACATGAAGGTAAAGAATGCAACATGCCACAGAGATTACTGGGATTAAGATTCTAAATAATATAAAAATAATTTAAAATGTATAGTAACATCCATTGGACAGTTTATCCCAAATCTTTCTTTACAAATAATCCTTACTATTTGGCAGCAATGACTAAGTGACCACCTGTCCCTTCGGTCTCAAACCTGACCTGAATACCGGGAGTATGTAAGCACACTCCTGAAAAGCAAGATGAGAGTTTACTAAAGGGCAGTGGAAGGAGAACAGCTCTCGTGTTTCTAACTTGCTTAGAAAACGGCCAACCTACGTTACAGCCTCTCAGATGAAGGCAGGGACCACAGATCCAGAGCAGTTTTTAGGCGGCTCTTGGTTTCAACACAACCTGTCCTCTTGATCACAGTTCTCAGAGCTAAACAGAGTAGCCCTTTTCTTTCTCTTTGGGGTTAAAAAAACCCCCAAATCTTCCAGCCAATCTCCAATAACTTTTTTTGGAGCAATGAGCAAACAGTTACATCTTAACGGTTTAAAAAAAATTCACTACCCCCAACTTTTCCAAAATGTATGTAAAATCTCCCAAATGTACAAATTTGATTAATTGTGAGTTTTCAAAAAATACATGGTATGACTATAAAGTAATGTGATAGGTTGGTGTAAGTATCTTTTGGGGTAGCTCATCTGGCTAACGAAGGAAACAAGATGTGCAGAAGTAATGATATCTGTACTGCCCGAGGCTCACTCAGAGCCTCTAGGTGTCCACATCCTTTGAACAGCTGAAAAAAAATAGAATAAAAAATCTTCATATGAACTTAGAATTCTCAGACCTTGACGTATAAAAATGCACAGTCCATTCTATTTTTTAAGATTTCAAATATCAGATCTCAATAAAGCTGAGAAAGCATGTAAGAGAAGGAAACATCTATAGACTGTGATGCCCCAACAGGCTCCTGACCTCATTCGACCCTCTCAACAACGCTGTGCATTAGTTATTATCCTCATTTCACCAGTGAAGACACTGAACGAAGTAACTTGTTGGCAATGCAAGCAATAGTCTGCCTGACTCAAAAATATAGTTTAAAAATTACTTTAGATAGGTTAATTAATGTAGGAAATAAGACAAAGTGACTAGTAGGAATGACTTTTTTTTTAAGCAAATCTAGGGTTTCAACCTAAAAATATTTATCCTTGCTTCATAACTTGGCTTCTTTAGATGATTTAAACCCTGTTCATTTGTTGACTGTAATTTTCTTGCAGGCAGACAAGGGACTACATTTTCTATCCTTCTGAACACAGATGAACTGCCAAATATTGTTTGGTAAAGGTAGGAGCTCAACAGACTTCTCAGTAAATCTGAAAACCAAGATGACTTTAAAAAGGTTCAAAATATAGAAACAGTTCTCATTTAAAATACCATACACCAAAAGAATATGAAAAGTTGCATTTATTATCATCAAGGTAGTATTTTCCCAGTTTTTCAATTACACACACACACAGACACGAACAACAGAAGGACAAAATTACATTTCCTACATACTAAAGACTCAAATTCCAAAGAAATAAGCACATGTTCGAAAGACGAGTAGAAAGAAATCTTTTCTCTTACTTGGAATATGGAAAACCTTTCAATAGTGACTCTCTCCCTTAAGCAAATCAATGAAGGTTTCTGTCAGTGAAAATGCTTGTTACCTTAAGGTTTTAAATATTTTGCTCATCAAATCAGACTTTTACTTAAAGTTTTTATAATTTGAATGAAATTCAAAATCAACTTTTGCATAAAATATATGAAGTTTTAAGTGGCAGAGACTAATGTACCAGACTTACTATTCTTTTAATGTGTTGAAATGATGTATAATTTATCCTTCACAGCTCAAATTCAATATAAAACTAAATATTAACCTTTTCCAGTACAGAAATAGAAATGCTAACACACAAGGTATGGAATAATTGTTGGCCTATGTAAAGTGAAATAAAATTGACCACTGCATTTTATTTTCAAACACCTTCAACCTTCTGTTTCACACTGATACCCATTTTGCAGGAATGAGATGATTGGCACTAACTTAGACAATAAACAAACTATACCAAGCACATGTTAGTGGAGATATTTTGGCAGAAAACAAAGTATTAGACAACAAACACTTCTGGTAACAATATCAACTTACCAAGTTTTTCAATGTTTGTATGTTCATACTAGTAAAAATGTTATTTAAAAATATTTTCATAGTACATGCATTAGACTTAGTTTAAGAGGAGAAGGTTTTTAAAATTTTTACAAAGAAAAAATATGTTTTAAAGAGAAAATGTCCGGGGAGAAGACATAAACTATGGTTCATTATTTTTGACATAATAAGAATATAAATTTCAGTGGCTATTTAAGAACATACAAAACCCAAACTGAATGCAATTTTTCTATTTATTCAGGCTACCAAGTAAAAAAAAAATAATTTTGTTATTACTGGTACAAATCCAATCCACAGTTCAAACACATGTCCTTGTACTCATCCATTATCTTAAAAGTTTATTTTTTAAAAAGAATAGAACTTGTTTGGCACTTGTTAATTGGTATAACTCAGGCAAATAATTTTGTCATCTCATTCTTTCATGCTGAAAGAACCAGTTTAAATTAGATTTCCTAAGAAATGGGGTAGGAGCAACACTGTAAGGAAAAACCTCTAAGCTTAAGTTCTAGAAACATTACGGTTTGACACAAATCAATGCTTTCCCTCACTCTTTACATAACACTGAGAAATTCTAAAATATAAATTGTAGAAATTAGTATATGAAATCTTAAGAAAAATCTTACTAAAATAATTATAAAAATGCTTTTAGAAATTTAAGATGTAAAATACAATTGACTTTAAATTAAAAAAACCCCACACTTTACAGAGTCATTCCTTAAAAACCCTGTCACGTGATTTTATTTTCTGTCAATCTTTCGGTCACCTGTGCATCATCTAGTGGCCACCTGTGGCATTTCAAACAGTCCCACGACCACTCTGGAGCTCCAGTGCATCTGTCCTTTGAGATACCAATACAATTACAGTATTGAATTTCATAAAACTTTTTAAAAAGGCTCATAAAATTCCATTTCCTAGTGGTGATAAGGAAATCTTTTTTAACGGGAAGAAACAACAGATTTGTCATAAATTATTACTGTACATAAGACTAGACTTTTCCATAATAATTTTTAAAAATTAAGTATAACACTGGGAGAAAACTATGACTTAAGTTCTAGAGTCTTCTTCAGACTGTAAAATAATTAAATTTACCCTGCAATTAAAGCTCAGGGTTACCATGTCAACTAGACTGGTGACTGGCAACACCTTCCACTGTGACTCTGATTTGAAATAGTGCCTTTCAACTTGGGAAACCCAGTGGCTGGTCAGAGTGCTAAGGACTGCAGTCAACAAAGACTGAAAAAGACTTAACTTTTACTACCAGAAGATGATATTCCACAGAAAAAAGTTATTACAGTGTCTGTTCATCAACCCATTTGTACCTTAACAGCAGGTTTAAAAACAACTGGTCTTTTAGCCTTAATGAATCTCCTTTTATTCAGATGAGCTGTAAAGAGAATATAACAAAAATCCAAAGTTCTCTTTTACTTTTACTGAGAAGGCTGAGTGAACGTAATACGGCGCCGCCGTCTTTGGAAAGCCTTTAAGTTCCATCTGTTTGGTTCCAGCATATGAGGACCATTGTAGACGAACAATACCGTCATCTTTTCAGAATAAGGGAGATTTTGTAGGAGCTGTAAGAGTTGGAACAAACTGTCATATAATGCTATATATATATTAAGAAACACAATTCCAACTTTATATATGTAAAATTGTGTTATAATACTAATGAAACTCTTAGGAAACTCTCAAACAGCTCACTATATATCCTGCCAGGCTGGGATCCTTACCTGAATTAGCACATCTGATGCCTGGCAAAAGGAATGATCTACATGCTTAGGGAACCTTCCATAGGGATCAGATGTCTTAGGTAAGACCCTGGAGAAGTGTGTCCTCCAGAATTTTCCTGTGACAGACACTTTCACTCATTTTTCCACAAACACTTTTCAAGCAACTTTTGTGATCAGGTACTGTCATAGACTGGTAGCCCAAAAAGTGTGTAACAGGGAGGTTTGGTTGATAGGCCAAGATGTTTGGTGAACAATACGGTGTTACCAATTCTGGCTACGCCAGAGTGTCTGCTAGAACAAGGAGCGTATACTATTCAATAAAAAGTAATCACTATACCTGATTGAATTTCTGATGGGCATGCTAATGACAGCTTTTTTTGTGTGAATACTTAGTTAAAAAAGCAATATATTTGATTACATTAGCAAATACAAATTTGAAAACATCAGTTTTATAATTTACCCACAGCAGTAATTCTCGCTGACAGAAGATTCTCTATAAAGATACTTCTGTTATCATCAGAGTTGATCTGTGAACGGATGGTGGGGTACTTATAGTTTACTTATAGTTTCCCCTGGGCCAGGGCAGTGGCAGCGGTGAGTAAAGCAGGGCACAGTGTTGCCAAAGACAGGACTTTCTGGGCAGTAAGGCCAGAGTTCTGGGTTTGCATTCTCCTGTCACCCTTTAGTGCCAAAAGGGGAACTTCTCTGGAGGAGGAGTAAGTGCCAAAAGCAGGAAGAAATCTCTGTTCTAGAGCAGAACACCATGTCTCCTATGCTTCTTTCTCTGATAAGAAGAAAGGAGCATAGGAAACATGGCGTGTCCTTGGAACTTGTCCTCTTTAGTAATATAAATATTACCGTAATTTTTTACTTCCTTTTCTGGGAGTGTTCCTGTTCAGATTTACACATTGAGTCCAAATTCGCTACATAATGAAGCCACTTTCAGCTTACTTATTACCTACCTTTGGCGTAATAAAGAAGTACTGAGAAGTATTCTCTTTACAGGCAGTATTTACAACCATTTCAAAAACTCTGCGTTCATTGATAGGGTCCATTCCCTAAGCAATAAAATGATGATTTCATTAAACCTCTTATAAAATACAAGATATGATAAAGCCCAAACAAAAGAATAATCACTATACCTGATTGATTTCATCAACTACTCGGAATGGACATCTATTAAGTTCCTGAAGTGCCATGAGGTATAACATGGTAGAAACACTTCTTTCACCTCCACTCTGATGATGAGGCGTCAATTCATGCAGTTGGGTACTACTGCGGAATTTGACTCTAATTCGAATTCCGTATTTATCATAGTCTTCCTATAAGACATTTAAAAGGTTGATGAAAGATAAAGAGCTTTCTCTAGTAATTTCATACTATTACTTAAAAAATAGATTGAATACATCAATTATAAAAGTAAAGAACTTAAAATTCAGTGATAATTTAAAGTAAGCCAATAAAATATTAAAAAGCCAGTTGCTATTTACAAGCTTTAGTGAGCCTCTAAGGATCTATTTTGGTACGAAAAATTTTCAGATTAAGAGTAACTTTTCCCCTCATTTCATACCATTCCTTTCAACTTTAATAGACGCTCCCATCAGTTTTTTAGAAACTACTTAGCGAAGAGACCCATCTCAGAAAGGCACTATCCATTGTAGCTCCTAAATGGCTAGGTTTTAAGGCTATAGATGCAAAGAATCAGACGGAACACAGTGGAGTACCACGCCCCTTTCTGCTGGAGAGGCAGCTGTGTATGTCACTACAGACGCCAAGAGCCCTCCGCCCTCCTGTTTCTTCCGCTGGTTAAGAAAAAAGCAGGCAGAGACTATTGCATCCTTAAAAAAATACTTATATTAAACCCCATATATATACATATACATATTACTTAGCAAAAACCTGACGCATAACAAGCACACACTAAGTATTCTTTAAATTTTGTCCAAAATGAGGCTGCTCTAAGGCTTACTTACTGCTCTTATTAGTTATTTCTAGATCAGTCAGGTTCAGATTTACCCTAAAAATGAGATCCTCAACTATTGGATTAATGGAGCTTTAAGGTCTAAGACAGCACCGACCAACAACTGGCGTGAAATACAATGCATGCCAAGCATGCAATTGAAAATTTTCTAGTAGTCACATTAGAAAAGGAAAAATATGAGAAATTTTAATTTTATTTAATCTAATATATCCCAAATATCTTTAACAAGTAATCAGTATAAAATATTTTAAGAATATATTTTGCACTAGTCTTCAAACTTTGTGTACTGTACACTGACAGCACACATGTTTTATATTTTACATGTTTTAAGTGCTCAACAGCCAGTCAGTGGCTACTATACTGGACACCAGAGGTCTAAGGTTAACAGAACCACTTCTATAAAAATATAAATATCTTAACCATAAATATAAGAATCCTGATAACTATCAAATTTTTAAAATACCACCTTCAATTTTTTTTGCCCTCCAAAACCCAAACCAGTAAATGACAATAAATTGTAATAGTTTTGATTCATAAGGTTTACTTCTTAAACTTACACAATGCATTTATTTCCCAGCAAATTTATGAACTATGGCATTTCTTAACTATACTAGCTTTGACTGCCAGAGTTTTGTTTGTGGCTCTGCTGCCCATTCTTTGCTCATTTTAGCTTCCTTCATCTCACTGACAGCTCTGGCTAAAGAAAGCAGTTCTAGAACCATGACTGAGGAACCCAGAACAGAAACATTCCAAGGTGGAGGCTGAGGAGAGGTAAGAATGCCCATTTTCCTGAGCCCATGGCGAGGTAGGACAGTTTAACCAAGAAGGCTAAGGACCACTGTTATGATGGTGAGCTATCATTTAAAACACAGAAAAATTGTCCAGAAGAGCGAGCACAGGATCAAGTTACAGTCCCATGCTATAGGACTCTGTATGACAGGTCTAATTCCATATACAGGCTTCCCTATTCTTACTTGATCATATTCATGCCTTATCTAGTCAAGGTGTTGAATAAAGATACTTTAGTTAGATCTGAATCTGACAAAGCTTTCAGTAATCAAATTTTCACCCCATAAAAACTATGCCACACCCACTGAGGAGGCACTAATTAAGAGCTTAGGCTCTGGGATCAGGTCTGGGGTTTGATTTTTTTGCTTTGCCGACTAGTAGGTGTGTGGCCTTTAGTAAAAGTTTCTGTAAGTTTCGGTTCTTTATTTGTAAAAACAGTGTTGATAAAAGTACCTGCTTTATAGAATGGTTGTGAGGATTAAACAAGACAATAGACTTAAAAGGGCTTGATACAGTGCCCTACACTAGAAGTATATGACAAATTATGTCCCTTGATACACACAAGACCAGGGACGAGGTAGATGACAATTACTGTGGCAGAGCCCACTATCTTACTAGAACTGGAAAGTGAAGTGAAATCTGCTATTCTTATGTCTCACACTAAATATAAATAGATGAAGTCACAGGGCAGAGTTCCTGAGGTGAGGAAAAAGGTCCTTACTTTGGCTTTGTATTTATGTGACACACAAGTAAAATTGCACAGAAGCTAAAACGCAAAAATGTAAAATGCTGAACTGTGAAGGCAACATTTTTTATCTTCATTTCCGTCTTAAAAAAGAATTTAGGGAAAAATTTGAACATTTACAAAATTAGAACACTAAAGTAAGATCAAATGAGCCCTGGCTGGTATAGCTCAGTGGACTGAGCACAGGCCTGCGAACTACACTAGTCAGGGCACATGCCTGGGTTGCAGGACAGTTCCCAGCAGGGGACTCACGAGAGGCAACCACACATTGATATTTCTGTCCTTCTCTTCTTCCCTTCCTCTCTAAAGATAAATAAATAAAATCTTTAAAAAATTACTTAAAAAATTAAGCTCAAATGTATCATTAATTAGTCTCAACTATGATCAATACATGACCATTCTAATGTTTCACCAATGATACCACCAAACTCCTCTTTCATTATTTTGAAGTGAATCCCAGTTCATCTTATTACTTATTTCTTAACGGTAATTTTATTTTACCCACAACTGCAATGCATAAACTTATAGCTCAAGAATTTAGCAGCAAATTTTCAAATATTTTTCATTCTTGTAAACTGTTAAATTTTTATTAAAAGGAAACCATGGATATTATACTTTATTTCAGTTATGTGCACCAATTTCTAACTCTTCTAACTTGGACAGTGGTAGAATTATAAAGCAATGCATTGCATTTGCTCATCGCAGCTGAATAACCATTACTAAGTCTGGATATAAAAAGAGCAAAGTATTAGTCACCAATCTCAAATGTCATATACACACAAAAAAGTGACCCTGATGCAATCCCTCCTGTGCTCTTTTCTGTCCTTCGAACAATTTTTTACTAAGCAAAACTTTCACACATAAGTCTAAGGTAAATAAATTATATACATATAATTAAAATTACTTGCCAGGAAACATTTAAAATGCAAGCTTACCTCATTTTCTGTGTGGAGATCAACTTCACCAGCACACTGCATGGAACTAAAAAAATTGCTGAATTTTTCATTAATTTTTTCTACCAGCTCTTTTAAAGGATTAAGCCATCTCTCTTTCACCTGCAAATATAGGCAAAGTAAAAACACGATTTAAAAGAAGTGTTATTACATTCTGATATACAACTTCACATAAAACAAATGTGGTACAAGTATTACTCTAGTCATGAGAACATACGTTGTTCTCTTAGAAGTGTATCATTTCATTTTGCATTATTCTACATTCCCATATGAGTAAGAACACGATAAAAAGAAAAGATAAAGACTAAACAATTACCTGTGAAATGCTTTCCCTATACTTATCCAGCTCAACTTTCTTTATCTTTAGTTCCTCAGTTAATTGTTCTATTTCTTCTTCTCTTTTTGTATATTCTGCAACAACCTGGTAGGGAAAAATTATTTCTTTAAGATAATGTCTTCATTGATGCCTTTGCTAGATTTAACTGAAAATGCCAATGTGGTGCATTGTTTGTATATTCTTGTAACATACCGAAAATGCTATTTTTTATTCTTGAAAAAAATAGGCACTGCAGTATTTCAGGTTAGTCCAACTATTTTTTTATAAAGAAAAGGCACAGAACACTGTGTTCCTTAGGAAGAATCTATTTAAAATTCTAATAGATTCAGAAACCTGGCATTTAAAGCACATTGTTCCTGCTGTCTAGCTTATTATTACCAAGAGCTCTAGTACAGAGTGGGAGGCAAGTACTGGAGGAAACTGAGTGTGAGTGTGTGTGTGTGTGCGTGCGCGCGCGTGTGTGTGTTGTGTGTTGTGTGTATGGGGAGGGTGCTGGTGGTTGCTGTAGGCAATAGGGGAAGAACGTACCGTAGGATTCAATCCAGTGAAGCAAGAAGCTCTTGATCTTTCCTCAGTTAATAAAGCATCGATCTCATCCAATGTGTTTGGAAGATCCTGGAAAGCCTACAGAAGAAAAACATTATCCATCATTGTAGACAGTACAGTGAAAACAGTCAAATTCAAACAAGTTAAAAGAAAAATATTCTGCCGGGTATCTACTACTATGTGTTCGACAGCATGCTAACACACAAGGAATCAAAGAAATTATAAAAAGGATTTTTGCTTTCAAAAAGCTTACACTATACTCTAAAAGGTAACAAAATATATACACTTAACACCAGATAATACCTTAAGGCAGTGTATTGATGTTGAGTATTAAAATAAGCAGTACGTATCATATAGGATATGGAATTTAGAGAAGGAAGTATCAGTTCATGCTACAGGAGCTAAAGAGAATAAGAATTCAGAGGCCCAGAATTCATCTCTGGACCATAAAGCAAATGGCTAAGAAAAAGCAAAGCAGAGGGGAGATAGGAGCTTGGAAAAAAGAATGAGCACTGCATACCATGGGGGGTGAGGAGTTGTGTCCATTTGGAATGGTGGGTACTTGCTGAATTGGTAGAATGGGTCCAGAATATGTGGGGCATTGAAAGAGAGCAAGAAGTTAGAACTTTATACTGTACTTATAAAAGCATCCTAAGAATCCAGTTATTTTGACAGGAGAAATTCACCACAGTACTATCTTCTGGGTCCACGCCATAAGAGACAAATGAGAACAAATATTTTCCTATGAGGGGAAGCAAGGAGCACAGTTTTGCCAGCACAACCTGCAAAGTTCATATAACACAAGGCACAGACCAGATATAAATGCCAGGCATTGAACAAGACAGGTATAGCAACAACATTACATAAATATCTTAAGTTTTTAAAAATGTTTTAGAAAGTAGTTCAATTTCTATAGGACTTCAGGTATTTATCAAGTACATACTGTTCAACTGTCCACTGAATTGTGAATTCGTGTGCCCAACACTTGTTTAGTATCTTTACTTGACTTTCTAACAGGCACCGTAAATTTAAGTCTTCATTTCAATTACTGTCCCGCCAATCTGAACAAACCTGTTTCTCCTGTTCCATCCTCGTTTCAGTACATGGCTAAATTCAGGGGTTCTCTCTCTTATCCTTCACCTCTGATCCATTAGCATGTCCTGTGGGCTCTGTCTTTAAATGATGATACCTCAAATCTATAAACGTCTCTCTTTCCTAATCCATGCACTATTAACTTCTTATCTGGTTCAAGGTACTCATCTTCTAGATGGTCTCCTTCCTTCAAATCTTGTACCCCTACTTTATTCTCCATATATTGGGTTGGCCAAAAACTCTATTTAGTTTTTCCATAAAATAAAACACATTTTTCATTTTCACCAATACTACGGATTTGGATATCTTGAGTATGTCATCTATCTCTTGCTAGTGGGTAGAGGCCAGAGTGCTGCTAAGCATATTTCAATGCATAAGACGGTCCCACAGTAACAAACTGGCCAAAATGTCAACAGTACCAAGATACTTCCCAAACCACTTTTAACACATTGGATCAGTCACAGCACCTTCTCCATACCATGCACAATTTCCCCCCCATTTCGATAAAATTTTTACCTTTCTTGAATAAAAGCACAACATGCTAAAAATGTTGGGTATGGATTTCTTTCAATATTAAAATGGCTGCACAAAAATTCACCCTTTTTGATAAGTTTTTTAAAAAATGCAAGCTGATATGACAGCTGTTATAATCTGACAAAATTGTTTTGAATGAAGTTAAAGACAACTAAGTACTACTAGAGCCACTGCGTGGAAAACACATAACAGACTTTTTGGCCAATCCAACAAAAATTAAATGTTCTTTTATTTATTTTTGTCAATTAATAGTTTAAGGTTCCTTGATGAAATGAGAAAGTTCTTTGAAGTTCATTTTATTTTATTAAAAAGCTTTTTTCAATTAGTTTACTTCTAATATTTTGTATTAATTTCAGGTATACAGCCTAGTGATTAGACAATCATATGCTTTACAAAGGGTTCCCCTGCTATTTATAGTAGTTAATCACTGCTATCTGTGTTTAAAATCCTCCAATGGATTCCATCTCAGAATACTAGTAAAACCCAAACTCCTCCTATGGTCTGTATGGCCATACATGATCTGACTTTTGCCTTCCTTTCTGCTTAGATTATAATTTTTAGTGTCACTGAGATCACTGTTACTCTGAAACATGCCAATATTATTCTGCCCTAGGGGCTTTGTATGAATTGTTGTCTTTGCCTGGGATACTTTTCCCTCTTCTCCTCACTCAGGACTCACCTAAAATAACACCTTCTCAAAGGAACCTTCCTTGACACACTATCCTCTTACCTTATTTTATTTTTCTTCTTTTACTACTCTCTATTTGCTCTTTCATTTGTTTTTTTGGTCTGCCCCATGGTTCAGACTAGAATATAAATTTCAGTAAAGGAGGAAATAGCCCCAGCTGGTGTGGCTTAGTGGACTGAGCACCAGCCTACCAACTGAAAGGTACCGGTTTGATTTCCGGTCAGGGCACATGCCTGGGTTGTGGGCCAGGTCTCCAGTAGGGGGTGCATGACAGGCAACCACACACTGATGTTTTCTCTCCTTCTCTTCCTCCCTTCTCCTGTCTCTAAAAATAAATAAAGTTAAAAAAAGTATGCATACATCTGTCTTGTTCCATGCCTGATACACACACACACAACACAATACATTTTTACAAAAATACATTTTAAATAAATATGTAAATTATCAAATATTGTTCCTTTCAAAAACAGTATGACTTATCAAGGATAGAATTTACTTTCTGAAAGAAAACAGTATAGATATTAATATTTATTTTTATGATAATCCAATGTATTTTGGAGAAGTTCTAGTATACTTTTAGAAACAACAGCTCCTCACTTTGTCTTTAAAAAAATCTGCTAAATTCCTACTATGTACCCACCTGGATCTGTTCTCTGTGGTGTCTAAGTCTGATATCATAAAGTAAAATTTTTGATGGTTTGAGAATTATAATTCAAATTATTTTTTCCAGTTCAATTTATATACTTAGTAGACATTTCATTATCTACTGAAAAAGATAACACTTGAAATTAAGAATTAAAAAACCTGCACAAATACAAAATATTTTAAAACTTTCTGTTCATTTCCTCATTGTGACATTTTGAGAGAATAGGTATGTAGGCAAGATACCATCCTCACTTGTCAGATAAAGCTTAGGGTCATAGGGCTGGCTATATAATGAATGGTGGAACTTGGACTAAAGGGCAGCATTCACTAAATGAATGATAGACATGTCAGCATATAAATTTTTTTTTAAAAAAGGCTCTTTCTCCTTTCCTTACCAAAAATGTTAGCCCTAAAGATTAAGCTTCCACTGAATTCCAAATAGAAACCCTACTATCCAGGAAAACATTTTAATTTTGCCTGTTTTTCTAACTACCACGGTTACTTACTGTTTCTTACTCCATTAGTGGTACTATGTGACCCTGGAAAAAGTACATCCCATTTCCCGACCCCACCCCTTAAAGGTGGCTTGGAAGAAAGAATCTTTTATTGGAAGAATGAATGTTATGGTGCTAATAATTCTGCAATGTAATGTTATGTTTTAATAACTTTGATATTAAGCAATGTGACTGGTGCAAGTTTGAGAAAAATCTGTTAAGCAAAATTATATAGTTAAAAATTGGGAGAAAATCCTTTATATTTTATGGCACATTACAATGCCTAGTACATTTTAAGCTTACAAAAAATGTTAACATGTGGCATTATGTACTATTTATACTTACTGTCTGGTATTCCTGAGGAATGGTCTGCTCTGCACCCAGGTTACATACTTGCCTAGCTCTCCTCATAAGTTCCTTGCACTTCTGCAATAATCTCTGTCTGTTTTCATCCAACTCAATGAAATGTTGCTGTTACAAGAAAAATATTTTGGAAATTTGAACAGAGGGCTATTTTATTAAACTACCACATTATAATACATATCAAAGAACTTATTAAATTTGATTGTGATAAGCAAATCTGAAAACTATCTCAAATTATGAGTGCTTTTCTTGTAAAGGTTAAATCTAGGCTTAAATTTTTAAGAGCTTTAAAATTCAATTTTCCTTTTTCTGAAACAGTTTAATTTAGCTACATATAATTTCACTCAAAATATGAAATACACAGTATATAGGCTTCATATCAGAAAACTCAGCACTCATATGTAAGAAGAACCTTTAAACAGTGTTTAATAGTGTTCCAAATGCCTTTCATGTAGTTATCATTTATTCGTGGACACATTCATTTCTATACCAAATAATTACCGGGAACCTATTAAATGCCAGTTTTTATTATGTACTAAGCATAAAAATATGAGTACAAAAATACATAAAATCAGCCCTGGCTGGTGTAGCTCAGTGGATTGAGCGTGGGCCTGCGAGGGACACATGAGAGGTAACAACAACAACAAAAACAAACATAAAATCATCATAAAAAGAAAGAGCAGTTATTTATTGAAAGCTTATGTGCTAGATGCTTCATGCATATTATTCCCTTATTTCTTACGACACTGACGGTAATATCGTTCCCACTTTGTAGATTAAAAAAAAAAGAAAGTAATTAAAGTAACTTGTGCAAGCTCACACGTTTAGTTAGAAGCAGTCAGGAGTCACATCTATGCCTGCTTACAGAACTCACGCCTCTCAGTGGGAGAGGACTGAATAGGAAAGGAAAAGAGTATGTGTGTGGTGGGGACAGGAGGTGCAGGAAGGTCAGAGTGGTCACAGACGCTAGGACAAGTGAATGGTCTTGAAGAACAAGAGGCCGGATGGCAAAAGTTTCCTGTGTAATGAGGAGGGCTTCATGGAATGCCTTCTTGTGGGCCAAGCTTTGTTACAATCACTATCTTATATGTTAATTAATCCAATCCTCATAACAATCTAAAAGAAATATATTATCTCCTTTTCTAGATGTGGCTCAGAAATAAGTTACGGAAATAGCGGATGAGCAGGTGCCTGAGAAAAAAGACAGGTCTAGCTTGCTGTTTCCATTAAACCTCAAACTTCAGTCTGCACAAAAAATACTTGGAGTGGATGGAGGTGGTGAAGATTGTTCAAACCCTACTGATACCCCAGCCATATGCCAGACCTATTCGATTAAGTTCTGTGGGGCTGAGGCCTGGACATTTGTATTATCAAAAAGGTCCTTAGTGATTTTTATGCATTGAAATTTGATAGCAAATACACTAGACAAAGATAAATGTTAGGAAGTTAAAGGATTTGTACAGGACTGAAATGAAAATACAAGCAAGCCTTTACACTAACTTCTCAGTACCATGGTTTCCCTGAATGAATTCGTCAGTCCCTAAATCCTTGGAGAAATAAAAGAAAAGGTTAAAGACTCCCAGTCTGCTCTCTAGGGCCCTCACACTCAGGCAAATGTAAAACAAGGAACAGCTAGGGAGAAACGGAACATTCTTGAAGTCTTCTATTCCTGCTTCCTATTCCTCTGGACCTTGCTGCTAAATGAAATGTCCTTGAGTTGAATATTTGGGGGATTTGGCTTAGGGGGACAAAATTTCATTCAATAATTTCTTTCTGTTTGGTGGCATATGTATAATAAATTCTTTACCAGAGAAGAGGTTCTTTCTATTCATCTCATCTGTTCCCCTCACCACCATAACTGTCGAGATCTTTTTGAGGGGGAGGGTAAGGAATGGAAAGAAAAGGGGCATACAATGATGTAAGATAACGTTGTACAGATAGGCTAGTGAAAAAAGCTGTATCTACATTTCTGTTTAGAGTCTAGCCTTTAATAGTTAATAGACAACGGAAACATTTAATTTATGTTAAGACATAAGGGCAAAAAAGAGAAAATTTCCAAAATATTGCCCACCAACAAATTAGAAAAGATTAGTCTTGTAGGTATGTCTTCTGAGAGAAATTAGTATTATCTTTTCTCTGAAGTTCTTTTTTTAACTTGACATTAAACAAGGAAAAGCTTCTCTATGAGGGCCCTCTAGTGGAAGAAATAAAAATTGTTTGCAGAATTTAACAGCATCTACACTTGAAATTATTTAATACATTATTCCATTTAACAACTTATTAAAACAACAGTCAAACAGAATGAAAATCATTTTTATATTATAGAAACCAAACTAACTTCTAGGTATTATGAACTTTTACTAAAACACTAGTTTTAAATTAAAACATTTCTCAATTTTCCTATAACACAAATACAAGCACCACATTTCATTCTAATTTAAATGGTCTCAAATTCAAATATTACCTATAAGTTTTAATATATATTAGAATACATATTTTATAAACATAGAAAGTATTTAATCATTCTTTTTTAATAACGAAATTTCAGTGTCAAATTTGAAATTTATAAATCAGTAGTCTTCACTGGCTTTTTAATATATAAGATGATAAATTCTGCTTCAATAAATCTAACAGTAAACAATAAAGTAATGGCACTGTTAAATACTCCCCCTCAAATGTATCTCATTTAAAATGTCTCCTCTGGAATTTTTTTTTTTCTGGCAGGGGAAGAAGAGAGAGTGCCAAGCAGGTAGGCAGAGAATGCTAGGTGAAAACAGAATCTCTAAATTTATTATTAGGATAAACAAATAAATTAATTTATAATTCTTGTAACTTATACTGACCCTGATATAAATCTATACTTTTCAGGGAAATACTGGCTTCATACCAGGCAGCACTCTAGGCACCTTAGAATATATTATTAATGAATAGCAAAATATCCCTGGACTGTAGAATGTGGCTATCTATGTAAAAAAAAAAATTAATTAGACTTCTGCCAAGATGGAGGCGTAGGTGGAAGTGCTGTGCCTTCTCACACAACCAAGTTTAAAAACAACAAAGTTTTAGCAACAAAAACGCAGCCAAACCACAGAAAATTGAACTACACGGAAGTCTGACAACAACAAACCCTTCAGCCAAATCGATGAACCGGTGAAGGAGCGAGCGGTGAGACGGACTGTGCAGGCCCCAGCGGCAGGAAGCGGCAGAGGGGACCGCCATTGTCCTGCTCTGACCCCACCCCTACATACAGCATCACAAACCAGCAACCTGGGTGGCCTGCCTCTGACCACACCCCCACATACAGCTCATAAACCAGCAACCTGGGTGGCCCCACCCTGGTGAACACCTAAGGCTCTGCTCACACCTAACAGGCATGAACAGATCAAAACATGACTCCACAACAACTCAGAGCCCCAGAGCCAATAAATCTAAGCAATGAAGAAATAGCCAAACTTTCAGATGCACAGTTCAAAACAATGGTGATCAGGATGCTCACAGAACTGGTTGATTTTAGTCGCAAATTAGAGGAACATATGAAGGCTAAACTAATTGAAATGAAGGGAAATGCACAGGAAACCAATAGTAATGGAAAGGAAACTGGGACTCAAATCAAAGGAGTGGACCAGAAGGAGGAAAACAATGACCAAACAGAAAAGGATGAAGAAACAAGAATTCAAAAAATTGAGGACAGGCTTAGGTACCTCCAGGACATCTTTAAATGTTCTAACATCCGAATTATAGGGGTACCAGAAGGGGAAGAGGAACAGTAACGAGTGGAAAACTTATTTGAATAAATAATAAGGAAGAACTTCCCCAATCTGGCAAAGGAAATAGACTTCCAGGAAGCTCAGAGAGTCCCAAGGAAGTTGGACCCAAGAAGGAACATACCAAGGCACATTATCATTACATTAGCCAAGATTAAAATGAAAGAGAGAATCCTAGAAGCAGCAAGAGATAAAGGGACAGTCACCTACAAAGGAGTTCCCATCAGACTGTCAGCTGATTTCTCAAAAGAGACCTTACAGGCAAGAAGGGATTGGAAAGAAGTATTCCAAGTCATGAAATCCAAAGACCTACATCCAAGATTGATCTATCCAGCAAAGCTTTCATTTAGAATGGAAGGGCAGATAAAGTGCTTCTCAGATAAGGTCAAGTTCAAGGAGTTCATCACTACCAAGCTCTTATTATATAAAATGTTAAAGGGACTTATCTAAGAAAATGAAGATAAAAAATATGAACAGTGAAAGGACAGCAAACTCACAGTTATTAAGAACTACACCTAAAACAAAATCAAACTAAGACGATAGCTAGATCAGAAGCAGAATCATAGACACGAAGACCACATAGAGGGTTAGCAACAGGGGAGTGGGAGAAGGAGAAGGGGGGAGAAGTTACAGAAAATAAGTAGTTTAGATGGTAGGTAGAAAATAGGGGGGAGGGCAAGAATAGTAGGGGAAATATAGAATCTAAAGAACTTGAGACACGTGGACATAAACTAAAGGGGGGTAATGGTGGGGATGGGGTGTGCAGGGTGGAGGGGAATGAAGGGGGAAATAGAACAACTGTAATGGCATAATTAATAAAATATATATTTAAAAAAATTTAATTAGTGACTCAAAGACTGAAAACAAACTTCGTCCTAAGAAACTTTGCTACTCTCCAAAGTAGTCAGCTCCATTTGAAATATGAGTATTTTTGCTACTACTAACACAATAAATGATAATAGAATACCCTGTCATTCTGCACCTAACCTTACTTAGTACATCTAGGTGAATAAAGGCTGTTGGGAGACTACTTTTCACCTTGTCAAGAGGGGATTAAAATTTGGGAGAACACTTATTCCAAAACCATCATGATTTCATGATACTCTGTACACATGACACAAACCCATCATTTTCTTAAGTTCTCATTAAAACTAAATTCAAAACAAAACTTTAGGCACCAGGATCAAATATTGTGTTTGTGTGACTTGACTTAAAGTTCCATGATGAGCCCATTTCTATATGAAATCTTTTCTGTACTGAACAACCAGGTTCATAGGCTCAATCAATAAAGAAAGCTTAGCACGCATGGCCTCTACAAATCAGCAGAACACAAGATGATGGGCA